TAAAAATTTCAAATATAAGAACATTATCTTTATCATGTGTCTGTCCGTCCGTCAATCTGCTCGTCTTTTCGCACGTTAACAACTCTTAAACAGATGCAGAGACTTTCATTAAATTTGATTCTGTTTAGTTTTATTAAAATATATTCACACATCCAAATTTCGATTAAAATCTGGCAATAACCGCCACTTTACTTGAAAATCTGCACTCGTTTTTACGCGAAGTGACTCAATGTGGAATCTCATGGTTATCGTGGTTACTCAGGTTAGACTGGTCACTACGAATACCTGGGGCAAAGGTCGTAGGTCAAATTCTGGTGAATGCATCCGAGTTGTCACGCCAATTCAGCTTTTAATTCATATTACTTAAGGATCTAAATACCCTGCATGTTTAAGCGTATCTAGTTAACTATTTTTTAGAGAAGAAACTCTTAAATAAATGTTAAGGTATCAAGGAAAGTCACATGTCTCAACTAACCATTACTTATTTCATTCTAGTTCATTTAACGACGTTTTCAGTATCTACACTACGTAGCGTCGGATTAGAGGATGACAGTGAGTAATGAATTGTAAGCGATCGTGGCCTAATTTAAGATGCTATACCGGCATTTTACTGAAGGGACCGAGGAAAACTAAGAAAAATCTCTCAGAGTTTAAACTCGGTACGTCTCGAACACAAAGCAAGAGAGCTGACCACTCAACTATGACCTTTGGTCTGACTGTTCCAGATTTGAAGAAAACCACTTTTACTATAATAATAACTGTCAGGTTTATGCCTTCGAAAGTGTTGCCCTCTCTCGTCCAGTCCCATTGACATCTAACTGGCGCACTGAGCAGGCATGTAAATTTTCGCATAAAATTATTCTCCCTACAGATTTGTTACGGTCAAATATCTTTCTCAACACTTTTTTCACTTCAGTTTATTCTTTTACTTAAAGTGACAGTCAACATATCACGACCGTAAAAATCAAAAGGCTAAATTGTAATTTTATAGGCCAATGTTTATGTTATTTAATGGAATACTGAACTGAATGGTGTCACGCGTTTAACAAGGGGTACTATTTTATTCTTCTGGGTTGCAGTTTTTCTCAGGCACCATGTTCGCTTTACTTGAGACCCACATTACACACAGACAGGATTGCTTTTTGCGACGAAATGAGTCGTTCCGCATCTTAGGACTTCCGTCTGCATCTAATTTCAAACGCGAGGATAATGAGGAGACACAAGTAAACCAAACTGACAAGACCCCTCCCCAAAATAAAATTCTGAAAGAACAAGTAGCCTTCAACTTCCTGACACCACAGTTTACACCGGGCTAATGGAATTGCCTTCGGCGTCATGTTCTAATGCCTTTAATATTGCGTTGTATAACTTAAAACGCATGCTATTAAGATGTACGTAAGGTTTCTTATTCACGCACGCCTTTGAGGAGCGCCCTTCCAACAGCCCCGCTGCATGTGTGTCCCACCACTTCAAACAAAGCCGCTTCAGCACTAAAAATATCTTGCATGCAATAAGGTGTTACGTACAACTTTCATATTTTTGACAAAGTTCCCCAATCCGGCGTTTTAAAACGCCATAAATATTGAGGAACAACCAAGACGTGGAAAATGACGCATCGTTTTCCTTCAGCGGTTCTTATAACTTGAACAAATGAGCAATATTTGAACTATTAACAACCTTAGCCTGATGATTGTCTGTGATCGATTGTACATTATGTTGATTTATTTGTATTAATAAAGACTCAGTTTCACTCAACACTTCGTTGGCCGTGCATAAGTCTGAGGTGGGAGCAACTGTACAACCATTCCTAAATTTTGTAGTGTGTTACATAAGTAAAGTAAAGTAAAGTTTGCCCCACTATACGCCATGTAGGCGTTTGGGGTGAGTGGAGGTGTAGCTCCTCTCTTCCTTGACCTCGGCACTAGATGGGGGTGAGTGGTCAGCATCATGCCCCGGCCGGCTTTACCCCCGGGAAAGGACCCCGGTACCCATTGTAGAGGAGGCTGGGTGGGCCCCAGAGCCGGTCTGGACGCAGAGACTAGAGGAAAAATCCTCTGTCCCCGTCGGGGATCGAACCCCGGCCATCCAGCCCATAGCTAGTCACTATACTGACTGAGCTATCCCGGCTCATAGTGCGTTACATAGGCATCTGAAAATTTTGATGAATTTTGGAACAATTTTTGTTCGGAAAGTGGAACGTAGCAGAACAGTGTTCTTTGGAATTATACCTGAAATTCAGAGTCTAATTGTAGATTAAACAGCGAAGTGGAAGTTGTTATGGACCTAAATTATAATTATATTTACAAATTTTGTAAGGGACATCGCATTTGTTAGGAATTACAAGCTTGAACATAAGATATTGTGTTTAACAACTTACTGTTAAAGACAGTCTATAGCCTACTTTTCGCAACTGCAATAAAAGTGTCTTGTCATTTTAGATGAAGCAGTGACAAGTAAGAAAGAGACACTGTATTTCTTGTTTCTTGTAGGTAAAATTGTATTGAGCTTGGAACGGCAAAAAAGTATTTAGATCATATAATTGTTTGTAAAGAATAGATGTGTCCGATATCCTGCTTAGAAGGTCAAAAGGTGTTTGTACACTTTAGAAATCAATCATGTTTATCTTATTTACCCCTAAATAAAGTGTTAATATTAATTTCTGGAGATAAATTCCAAAACCGCTGTCGCCATAGCAACCATTTATTGAACTATAAAAACGCGAGTTCCCAACGACTTAAGTTTACAGGATCGTGTCCATGGCAAGTTGAAGACGCGCCAGAATCTCGTGCCGCTATATTTTACAGCTTGTGGTATCGTATGTTGGATCTCAGACTTCAATGTGTTCTCTGTTTACCCTCTCGTTTCTGATTATTGACTATTCCAACGTTTTCTCTTTTATTTCGACTTTTTCGTTGGGAGGCTAATAGCCTCGTCGCTACAGGGAATTATTTGCTCCTACACTTTCCATTGTGGGCGCCATGGAGGTGTTTATGAACCTTTGCACGATTTGGATGAAAAGTTATTAATCGATAATACATTAAAAGGAATCAATAAAATCTTCTCGGGCAATCAGCCGCGTTAACTGGTCTGTCTCAGGCGACTTCCGAGGATCCAGTCACATCTGAACCCTGAAGATGGGGACAGAGTTTGTTCCCGAAACGTCGGTTTACTACGGTAACCAGTTAACGCGGCTGATTGCCCGAGAAGATTTTATTGATTGTACTCGCCGCTAAAGTCTCAAATCCTATATTAATAGGGAATGCTTGAAGAAGGATCGTGCTTGTACTATTTCAATAGCCGATGAAACTGAGCGAAGATATTATTAGTAAAGTAAAGCTTTTCAACTATACGCCATGAAAAAGATCGCGAATATAAGGTGTAGCTACAATTCATTCTTGACGTAGACGCTAGATGAGGGTTATTGGTCTACGCTACCACCCGGCAACATTTACCTCCGGATAAAGGATAGGAGGCTGGATGGGTCTCCGAGGCGGTCTGGTCACAGAGGCTAGAAGAAAAATCTATTACCTCTGCCGAGGATCGAATCCTAGTCGTTCAGTCAAAAATACGGTAACCATTTTCTGAATACAAGAACCAGGCTTACATGAGGATAATCAAGACGGAACATAAGTGTTAGATTCATGTGACTCAAGATAGGATCTAGATGCAGGCTGTAGTCAGAACTGTAACAAATCTTCTATCCGTAAAGGCGAAGAATCTCTTAGCCAGCAAAGCGAATATTAGCCTCTCAGAGAAACTGTAGCATGGAGTTAGTTAAAGGCACATTTTAAACAATCTTGTATGCATTATTTCAATACTGAAGAAAACCGCGAAATACGATCTCTATACCGTAAACTGTGAGTGCGTGTAGCTGGAGTATTTACGAGTATATAAGGAACCTAGTTTTATAGAGCGCTGATAGCCCCGGAACATTACTCCATGTGGTTCCACCAGGAGCCTGACTTTTGCCCATTGCCGCAAGCCAGAATCTGAAATCTTCTCCTCAAATAGTTTATTATTTCTTGTTGGTAGCTTGGGGCTACTGGCAGCGTCTGGTCTGGATCTGCCCGCCATTTGTCACAACTCTAGACAAGGACAACTGCAGTCTTGATGAAAGACGCCCCTTGCCACGGCTACAGATCCCTGAGGCGATGGAGTTCAAAGATAGAACGGAGTGCGTATGTAATGTAAACTTGTTTCCGTCTCAGCATTTCAGTCCTGCACGCAGAGTGGAGCGTTTTTCCGAATTTGACACCGGTCGAGGGCAAACAATTAGCGAACTACTCCGCATATGAGAGAATGGTTGATTTGATTAAAGTAATTCGTTGTTTTCATATGTAATTCCGTGAAAATTTTGGGCAGTACCTCTGAAAGCTTAAATACTGAATTTTAGAATTCCATCGCATGCTTTTATTTTCTTCTTTGTTTCTTTCTCCTCATTTCAGTACCGACAGAATAAAGATTGTAAGAGATTTTTGAGTTCAAACTTGAGATCAGGACAGTAGACGAATCAGGATAGTTTTCTCACCTATCTAGAAACTAAGAGAATGGTGAAGTATAAATGTCAGACAGAACTTGTAGCACGTCAATTTACGACCTCTATGTTTAAAGAGGAACCATCAGCCTTTTAAATCTGTACATTTCATAAGATGGTTGTTGCTCAATTCTGCATTACAAGTGTAAAGTTATCATTAAATACCGTCTCAACATGGAATTGTGTAACACCGCCCTGACTCTTTTATTTTTAGAACTGTGTGCCCATACCTGCTCAAGCCTACATCTTATGTACCTACTTAATGTAAATTTAAATTGCTAACAATTGTTGGAAAGAAACTATTGGAAGCACCAGCAATTCTTTTGGCTCTTTACTTTCGAGCTGAGCAACGAAAAACATGTATGGTAGGGAAACATATGGTTTCAGAGAATACAAATTCACTGATGCAGTGTTTCCCAGCTCTGTCCTATAACCTAAGCCATAGATTATTCCAATGCTAAAACCTTAGGTCCAAAGGCTTTAGCATTGGAATAATCTGTGGCAGTAGCAGTCACGGGAACGTCTGTCTAACGTAGAACTTCAGAAGGCAGTGGCGATAATGGAGGAAATATTGTCAAAGTTGTTGGTTCCAGATAATGCCATAATTTTACAGGTATATGAAGGGGTCGGTTTGTTATATGTATTTTGGACGTACGTTTGCCTAATATTGTTATGTTATATACATTTTATTTCACACAGCAGTGTGGTATTACATACGTAACAGCTCATAACCTAAGTGAATAGAATTCCACGTGCTATCAGGTCTGTGAGTGATGTTGACGCTTGTCTATGGGATAAACTGCATTTTCGCTAGCGTTCCTTAATCCGAAAAGTCACCACGCTCCCTTGGCAAACAAAAGGAAGTTATAACCTGTACATGTACTGATATGCAACATCGTGAAACTTTTCTCATGCCCAGATTAGCATTTTATATGTATTTATATTTTGTATATTTTAAACTGTCTGAGATAGAGATTCTCACTGTGGTGAAAGCGTGGAGTGTGTTCTTCTGGGCTGTGATCTTGTAGATTTTAATCATTCATAGAGCTGAAATGGAATAAATATGTTGCAATGAAATTTGTCAGTTTTGAAAAATAAAATGTAAGAGTACCTGTCAGATTAATTCATAAACATGTTGATCACTTAATGAATGACCGTTACGTCATTTGTTGCTTTAAATGTAATGAAACGTTCTATACATTTTCATGTATGGGTGCTGTTCATACAGTTCTTTAATTTATTTTCAGGGAACTCGAGAACTTCAAGAAGCCTTCAAGAAACCAGAAGTAATACCAGCTCTGTGTAATGTTGTAGGGGTTTCTCAGAACCCTCAAATCAGACAGTATGCTGCTGTTCTTCTTCGAAAGAGACTGTCTAAAAGCAGGAATTGGACGAAGTTGCCCGTTAATGTTAAAAATGGGTAAAATTTTTTAAACATGTCTTCATGTAAGAGGTTATAGGGAAACAAAACTTGAACTTTGTAGTAATTCTGCTGATAATGACTTAAAGTCAGTTTTTTTCCTAATCAGATATTTATGTGTGGAATACTCTTCATTGAAACAGATTAATGCAAACAGTGGTGGAAATATTCCTGTTCTGAATGTAACACATGAATTAAATATCAGTATATGTCAGTGAAAACCAACTCTCTGTGCGAAGATATTTTATTACTACATTATGTCTTAAGGAGAGAAGTAATTTACTATAATTAGTTAGATTGCTTTACCATGCTATTTATCACCAGATTCTTTATATGAGTGTTTTGTTTTATCTCAAAAATGCTATGATCATTCAGTGAGGAACTGCAATTTTGCACACGCGTAGAGTTCTTGCCATTTTGTATATATTTTCATTAATGTGTGTTAATCACTGAATAGCAAAATTACAATTAAATGAGTGGACAAGTATAAGTATCAGTCAGTATATATTGTACTGATATTAAGTTTGACATAACAAGCACAAACGTGTTAATATCTACAAAAAAAAATTGCCTCATTATACTGTGTAGGAAGTATAGACAACAAAGAGAGTGGCTTTGTAAGTAAAATGGATCAGTGCGTTTTTAAATTGGATAATTTTTTTCATTCATACCATTTGTCCCTAATTAAATGAGTGGCAATACGAATATTAATTGTGCAAGGGGTATCAAAACGTTTCTGCAGTATTGAAATATTGGTAATATTGGATTAGTAATACTACTGAAACATGGTCATACTTTGACTAAAGGTCAGATGATGGCATTCTGCAAGTGTGCTGAGTGAGCATAGTTTGAAGATGGCTGCTCGAATACAGATTTTTGCCAAGGATGAGTAATATGCTATAGTGCATTTTTTTGTGGTCTGAAGGAACAAATGAGGCAAACATTTACTGGTAGGAAGCTGCCCACTATGGACAACAAATGCCCAAAAGCAAATACCAAAGCAATAGTGGACATACCTGGGCTTTTCTTGTGTCAGAAGTTCAAAGGTCTGCAACACTTTCTCAGTCTAGTTTTAAATGTTTGTATTATTCTTGTAAAGCTTCTTGTTATTTTTTACAGGATAAAAGAAGGAATTTTACAAGCTATGGTTAATGAACAAGAGACTTATGTGAAGAATTCTATTGCCCAGTTTATTGGAACAATAGTAAGACATGAGTTCCCCAATCAGAACTGGCCAGAAATGCTGCAGTTCATACAACAGCTTACAAGCAGTGACAACATATCAGATAAGGAGGTAAACAATTGTCATGGATAGATGTGTGCCAGTGTGATGCGTCTTTTTATGTTGCATATATTTTATGTCTGATGTTATTAGGCCTGAATCATTTTTGTGGTTAGAGAACAAACATGTGATATAGTTAGGCTTTAATGAGTGTCCACAGTGGCCAGGGCTCTCCTTACCCTCAACTTCCTATTTGGCCTTTCTCTTTCAACTACGCTTTTGCCAATCTTGGCAATTTCACACTTACTTATTGGTGTATTATCTGCTTTAACATTCTGTAACTTAACATTTCGCCCACAGAGTTTCATATGACTTTCACACTAAACAGCGATTGTTTCTGCAGATCACATTAAATAACTGGTCTTTGTAATGGAGATGCATTGTAAAAATGGTTTTAAATGAATCTCCAAGTTTTAAAAGGTTAAGAACCACTGATGTAAAGAGTTATGAAGATGTGTAATAAATAATTTGTTTCTGAAGTGCTTATGTGCTTCTGTGATTACTATTTCTGTTAGTAGGAGTTATTAACAGAAGTTATTCTTTTTACAGTTGGGGATGTACACAATGAGTGTAATCACAGATATATCTCCTGATCAGTTTTTGCCTTTTATTTCATCAGTGGCTTTCCTGTTCAGTAATGTGATAAATTCTCTTCAAGACCCTGGTTCAGCATTGGGATATTACACAGTCCTCACAATGATCCACTTTGTACCACTTGCAGAAAGAGATCAAAGGGTAAGCCACATTTCATATACCATATTCATCATATAGGTAAATTGCTGAATGCAAAGTTTCTACAAAACTGAGGTAATCAGTACTATAGAACTCCATGCAGTTTTGTTGAATTTGATAAAACAGTTACTGATACTAGTTTTATATCTTCAGGTGCAAAGAAATTTTAATATTTTGTGCCTTTGCTGGTATGGTTTACGATGTTCCACGTAGTGATCCAAAGGGGCATATGGGCCTGTTTTGTTTTGTAGGATTAACACATTGAAGTGGAACACTGAGCTCTACTCATGGGCAACTTTAATGTTCATTACACCATGTTATACCATAACCAGAGGCCACATTCTTATCATATATTCCCTTGTGCTAACTGCTACGTATTCTGACGCCACCATTTAAATGGATACTTTAAGCTAAACAGTAGGTCTTTTAAAGTTGACTCCAGTGGATTAAAAATTGTTTTCTCTTGTCCTGTTTACTGTCATCAGTGTGATTCATTGTGGCATGCAGAAATTAAAAATGTTTTATATAATTAAAAACCAATTCCTTCTATACCTGTGTATCATTGTATGTAATGACATCAATTCTTATAACCACATCAGCTTCAAAACCATCCCAGAAAAATGAGGCTCACACTTTGTGATTTTGCTCTGTGAGCAGATTTGCAATTCTTTTCAGATTTTCTCCAGCTTATATGTGTTTAAGTTGTTAGCTTCTGAAGTTTGAGAGTAGTTTCATTTAAATGCACATTTTCATGAAGATGATTTTTCTTTGTATGTTTTCATATAGTTAGAAACAGACAAAACTTGAACTGCTTGACTCTGAAAGAAGTAATATTTATTTCTGTTATTTACTGCATTATACAGCATGCAAATTATTCCCTAGAATCCAGGAAAACAGCAAGAAGACACAATATTCTGTAGGATACAGCATGTTGCTAGACTACAGTTTATAGCCAGGGAAAGTTTGCAGAAGGATTTTGCTTTAAAGAATAGAGTAAATGATATAATATATAGCAGGAAATTATCCATTTTCAGTAGATCCCCTGTCTCGTTGGCATGGCATGTCAGCAGGTTGCAAATAGAGGAGACTGTATCCAATGTAGTTGCAAATACATTGGATAGGCAGTCGCAGCCATCCAGTGTAGGGGTTGGTTGGGTAACTTTTTGCTGCAAGAACCAGCCTGTTGTGAAATGTTACACAGGGCCTTGGACTTGGGCAGTTTCTATAGAACAATGTAAGCAACAGAAGTTAACATGTTATTTGGAACTTGTAATGCCAGGTCGAATTCAGGTAGGTACATATTTCCAACACTGTGCTCTTTCTCCACCACCTTTCTTATAATACTTAAATTTTATTTTGTTTTCCAGTTATTGAATGTATATCACCAGCTCATGCCACAGGTGATGCAGATTGTCAGGGCACTGGTTGTTACTGACAGTCAGCAAGCTATTAAGGCTATGGAACTCTTTGATGATCTTGTTAAATATGCTGCAGTTGTGATTGCGAGTTACATTAAACCACTAGTTGAGATGTTCCTTGAGTTTGCTAGCAACAGGACACTGGATGATGGCATTCGTACCTTGGCAGTAACCTTTATTGGTGTGTTAACACGAACCAAGAAAAAGGTAGGATTGTATGACTGTTTTCTTCATCTTCAAAGCCATTCTTGTTAGGTCAAGACCTTGAGCAAAAATTACAGGCCATATTGTGAATGCTGTTGTAGTCTTGAATTATAACAAGGAACTTCTGTAATAAATTATAAGTATTTGTGAAGAATTGACTTGGATGTATTCAGATGAATGGCTGTAATTGAAGTGAATAGATGCTGAAGTTTTGTTTCTTTTAGATAAATGTTTAATTATCCAAATTATTTCACAGATGTAGTCATAGGATATTTAGGTAACAAAATAACAAACTGAAGTATAGATGTGATCAATTAATTGGGGTTGTTGTATTTTTTCTGTTTGTATATTCTTTCTAGGAAAAGAGATTCTTACATAATGCTGTTGAAATTAATTGTTTGGTTCAGTTGAATGTTAATATTTGTCTAGATTTAGCAAAGGAATATTTATTATATAATTTGTTCTCAGGCTATTGTGAAACACAAGCTAGTAAATCCCATCCTTGAAGTGATATTCCAGTTGTTGAGTCTCTCTCCAGAATCTGGTGACAGAGAAGATACAGAAGCAATCATTACTTCTGCCTCTCATACCCTTGATGTTATGGCATTACATTTACCTCCTGACAAGCTTCTACCTCCACTGGTATGTGATATCATTCATTTGTACTGTGGTTCCCAAACTTTTGAGGTTGTATAGCTATAAAATAAGAAAATCATTGTGCCTTACAGATTTATACATTTGTGTACTGAAAGTGATTACATATTCTCAAATAAATACATAAAGCCATAAACATAAGAAAAACACAAGTTGTTATAACAGTACAGGCTGTATTTGATACATGTTGCAATATCCATTGCCTCTTATTAGCTATCGCTCACTGATTATAAAAATGCAGGTATATCTGAAATAAGTTGCAACTTTCATTCCGTCACGGAAACTATGACTTTTCTTTTGTGTACATTTATGGAGCAGTGGTCAAGAGTATCCTTACTTATGGTTCAGAGACATGGGAAATAACAAAAAGAAGCAAAGATAGACTTCTAGTGACAGAAATGGATTTTTTGAGATGAAGCTGTGGGGTAAGTCGATTGCCACGCATCCAAAATGAAGAAAGTAGAAGAAGGATGGAAATGGAAAAAAATAATAATAGAGGATATGAAAGAAAAGCAATTACTATGGTATGGGCATATGCGATGAATGCCCACCAAAAAGATGGGTTGAAGATGTACGTGAAGCCATGAACAAATGGCAGTTAGAAGAAGACCTATGGGAGGATAGGGACCTCTGGCATTTAGGATGTGACACACTGCTCTGATAGTTGTACAAACTTGCTATATATATATGGAGCATTTGAAACAAGTTGTGTCTATTGTCAATCATTGTAACATTGATTCTTATTTATACTGAAGATGTACCATGGTCTG